TTTTTTTTTTCTTCTTTGAAATCATTCATGTTGTTTCCTCTCCTCAATTTGCACCAGATCACCTAGGTTAGGAAATTGAGACAAATTGTTTGTTTGTTTGTTTGTGATACATGGTCTCCCTGTGTAGCCATTTCTGGCCTAAATCTCCCTATGTAGACCTGGCTGTCCTAGAACTCATAAAAATCTGCATACCTCTGACTCCCTGGGTGTTGGGATTAAAGTGTGCACCACCCCTAGAGGCAAGACAAATTTTTGATTAGGCTTAAAAACAAGTGCAGAAACTTTTTCCCCAAAGATATCACTGCTTTGATTTTATAGTCTTGGATAAATGCTTAAATTTTTCATCTTAATTTTAGCCAAATTTTGAACAAAGTCAATACCTATCATTCAAAAAATATATAATTCAGCCTTTGTTTTCCTGATTGTGTTTTGGACCCACTATCTCTATTATCCAAGCTTAATTATTTTCTATAATCTATCAAAAGTTAATGTTCATATTGATAAATATGGTCATGTATCCAATATAAATTTATTTAAACAAGGCATTGTATGAGAAAAGGACCGTCTTTCTTATAGCAGCCCATAGCACAGTGAGTTGACAAGGTAGCAAGCCCAATCCATAATTTTATTCAAGGTTGCCTTATTAACTCTATTTAGGAGACTTGGTGTTATGACTCCTCTGAGTTTCTTGGCAACTTGTAAGCAGGGCTCAGCTGTTTATAAAGCTGCCAGATGTTTCAATGAGACTGTTGAAAAAAATTGTCAGGCATCAGTCCATAGCAATTTGTCCTTTGCTGACATCTTCCCTTTGACGGGCTGACATGTTTAGGGGAAACTTTAGTTGCTTGAATGTGAGGAACACAAGATTCATGAAGCCACATTTTTAGCCCAGAGATGTGGAAGCACAGGAGACTTGATCCGTGTAATTCTTCTATAGATGATATTTTTCACTAAATCACACAAAAATTAGTTATATCTCAACATGCATGGATGTCAGTTTTCAAATGGTTTCCAATGCTACTTTTCCATTATGAAACTGGGACAGTATATAGAAAATATTTTTGTTTTTACCTTTTATCATATATCAAACCATTTTTGATGAATGAATTTTTTCAAGTTTTTTTTAAAGCTATAACCCCCTGTAGCCCCAGCTAGCCTAAAACTTGCTGTACAGAACAGATTGGCTTTGATCTCACAGTGATCCCTCTGCCTCTGCCTCCCAAGAGCTGGGATTAAAGGCCTGTGCCATCATACCCAACTTATTTTAACTGCTTTTAGTTATGTGTGCATGTGTTGGGGGTATGTGCATGTGCATGGTGTGCCAGCACAGGCCAGAAGAGGGCATCAGCTCCCCTGGAGCTGTACTTACAAGCGTTTGTGAGCTGCCAGGCATGAGTGCTAGGATGAAAACTCAAATCCTCTATAAGAGCAATACTTGCTCTTAACCTTTAAGCCATCTCTCCAGCCCCATAAATGAATTCTTATTCTGGAGAGGTTGGAGTTTTATGCTACATTATTTAGTTTTTAAACATACAATCTAAATGTATTATGAATGAGATTTGTAGATTTTTCCTAATCTTCCATCACTTTGAGGAAATTCTATGTACCACTAATTAACATTAATCCTATACTAAAATTTTAATGCCCTTTCAGCTGCTACAGTTTGATGTTTATTTTAAGCTGTTTCAAACAAGTTAAGCAACAATGTTATAAAATGAAATATAAAGAATAAAAGATTGAAACTGGCTCTTAATACACAAAGACAAAAAAATTAAATCATGTGGTATTGGTCACATTCCTCATTGCTGAAATAAAATACCTGACAAAAGCAATTTAAGGAACACATATATATGGCATTCAACTGCTAAGAGGAATGAGATAAACCAGGCAGGCCTGGTGGCACAGGCCTGTCATCCCAACTACTTTGGGAAGTTGAGATAGAAGGTTCACAAGTTCAAGACCAGCTGGTGATCCCCCTTCCAGAATTGCATTGCTCATGTTTAAAACTGTCATTCAAATTCATAACTCCTTGAAACCTGTTACTACCAAAATAACTATTTTGTCATTCAGTCTAAAAATAAAACCTTTCAACCCCCCCCCCAAAAAAAAAGACAATTTAAGGAAGGAAGGGTTTATTGTGGCTCACAGGGTAGGGTCTATCATGACTGGGAATTGATGGTGGCAGGAACATGAGGCAGCTGGTCACACTGATCCACAGTCAGGAAGCAGAGAGATGAATGCTGGTGCTCAGCTTGTTTTCTCCTTTTTATTCAGTCCAGCACGCCAGTCCATGTGGTGGTACCACCCACATTCAGGGTGGGTCTTCCCTCCTTAGTTAAACCTCTCTGGAAATACTCTCACTGACATGACCATAGATGTGTCTATCGGCTGATTTTAAATGTCAGTTCTGGGGGTTTGAATGAAAATGGCCCCATAGGCTCCAAGTGTTTGGACATTTTGTCCCCAGACGATGGCATTGTTTGGGGAGGTTTTAGAAGGTGTGGCTATCCTGGAGGAACCAAATCAGTGGGGGTGGGCTTAGAGAATTCTTAAGCTTTGACAGATCTCCAGTCACTCTCTTGCTTCCTGTGCCTGCATGATGATGTGAGAGCTTGGCTTCTGCAGCTCCTCGTCCAGCCACCTCCAGCCAGCATGCCTCCTTACCATGACAGACTGTAATTCCCCTGGAACTGTAAGCTCAAATAAACTCCTCTTTCTAAAAGTTGCTCAGTCAGTGTTTCTAACACAGCAACAGAAAAGTGACTAATACAGTAATTGGTACCAAGAGTGGGGTGTTGGCTGTGAAGAACCTGACCATGTGGGGTTTTGGAAAAATGTAGAAGATTTTGAAATTATGGGCTAGAAAAGTGGTTGATTGCTGTAGGTAGAGCTTAAGAGGCTGTTCTACAAAACACCTGGAAGAAAGTAGTGCTGAAAACAATGCAGTTCCAGAGGGAAATAAGGATTTAAACAGCACTTGGGGTATTTTGGCAAAGAGTCTGGCTGGAGTCTGCCCTTGACCTAAAAGCTTGCCTGAGGCTAAGTTGAAAAGCAATGGACTAATTTCTCTGGCAGAAGAAATTTCAAGACAGCCTAATATTAAAATGATGGCATGGATATTACTGGTGAATACTATGCAGATCTACAGTGAAAAAGAGAAAATGGGGCAGAAAGAAATACAGTTTGGATTGAAAAAGAGCACTAGGAAGAAAATGTTGGTGCTTCGGTATGTGCTGGAGAAATCCCTTTGATAAGGAGATTAAAGTGATTAAGGAGGGGCCTAGAGATTGGATTTAAACAGTAGAGAGAGTGCCTCCAGAGCAAGACCACACCCAGTTAAGCCTCCAACTTGTGAAAGAAAAATGCTACGGGAGCCATGGAAGAGAAAAGCTTCTAAAATGGATAAAGCAGGCTGGGGTCACCCCAAACTTGCAGTCAAACTTGGCAGTGTCATTTACCTGGTGCTGGCTTTAGAGGCATGAAAGATGGAAGAGTAAAGGGGTCATCAATTCTTCCTCCAAGGTTTCAGAGAGCTTCGGAGGCCAGGCAGTGTGAAGCACAGGTGCCCCTGCCTAGAGAAGGCCCTGATAGGTCACTGTGTGAAGCTGTGAAGGTGAAGCCTGGTTGGCCATGGAGACCCCAAGAAGTCCGTGATGCCAGAGCTGTGAGACATCTGCCAAGAAGACCTGCATACAGGGAGTGGTACCAGCACAGGAGAGAGATATGTGTTGCACACAGCAAATCTAGAGAGGCTGAGCCATCTAAGCCCTTTGGAAGTAAAGTCCCAGAAGTTGGACGTGGAGCTACTGGATTTGATGTTTGCCCTGCTGGTTTTCGGTCTTGTTTTGGTCCAGTATTTCCTTACTATGTCTCCATTCCTCCCTTTTGGAATGGGAATGTGTATTAGGTTCCACTATATGAGTATGTAATTTGTCTTTTGATTTTATAGAGGCTTACAGTTAAGATATTTATCTGAGTCTCAGAATATACTTCAGACTGTAGACTTTTGAATTGTATTGAAACTGATAATGACTATGGGGGCTTTTAAAGTTGGACTAAATTAATTTTGCATTTTATATGATCATGAGCCTGTGGGGGTCAGGAGATGGAATGTGGTGGTTTGAATGAAAATGTCCCCCAAAGGCTCCAATTGTTCAGACATTTTGTCCTCAGATGATAGTGCTATTTGGGGAGGTTTTAGAAGGTGTGGCTATCCTGGAGGAAGCAAGTCACTGGGGGGTGGGTTTAGAGAGTTCTTAAGCCATGCCAGACCTCTAGTTGCTCTCTTGCTTCCTGTGCCTGCATGATGATGTGAGAGCTTGGCTTCTGCTGCTCCTGGTCCAGCCACCTCCAGCCACCACGCCTCCCTGCCATTATGGACTGTAATTACTCTGGAACCATAAGCTCAAAATAAACTCCTTCTTTCTATAAGTTGCTCAGGTCAGTGTTTCTATCACAGCAACAGAAAAGTGACTAATACACCAATCAACTTGACAAGAAGGTTATCCATCACATATACCATTTGTATCTCTGTAGCCAAAGACCTCATGTATGAGATAAACCATGACGCTTGAGTGTAAGACATAATCATTAAGCCATCACTAAGTTCTGTCTCTTTATTAGCTGGTGATTGCGCTTTATAAGCTTTTAAAACTGTGTACTAGTTTCATGAGTGATATTGCTAACTAAAAAGCGTTTTTTGCAAAAGCAGAATATTTGTTCATTTATTTTTTCCAAAAATTGCTTTTCAGGGAAATAATTTATTTTTAGCTGTTTTCTTATATTTTCTGTATATTTGTATATGTGTGTATATATGCATATGTGTATATAATACACATTTAGTTGCATTTATATATGTGAATACTCAAATGAGCAGATGTGTAATATGTACACAGAATTCAATATCATCCTTATATTGTTTCAGTTATTGACTACTCTTACTGGTCCTGTACTGATTCTCAAGCTCTAAGCATCCATTTTAATTTTTGTTTCCACATTAGAGAATATTACATCACCATGGTTAAATGGGTGAGCAACACCAGGACAGTAGTCAGGTGGTTGAACCGGCCTCAGAACATCTCCATCCTCACAGTCTGTGAGTCAACCACCGGGGCTTGTAGTAGGGTGAGTTTAACATATTTGCATCTTATGTGTAAGGTGAAATTGTTATGATTTATTGTCATGGAATTCAAGGATGCTTTCATATAAATCTTTTAATACTTCACTTCCAACCACTGTAAGAAAATGATGTATCGTGCACACTTAAGGGCTGGGGAGGTGGTGCAAGAGGATAAAGTGCTTCCCTCACAAACTTGATGATCAGAGCTCCAATCCCTAACACCTAGGTAAATTCCAAGTGGGCATGGTGGCACCCTTGTACTCATAAAAACTTGGCAAGTAGAGAAAGAGTAACTTCAGAGCACGTCAGTTATGTAGAATTACTGCATCTGCCAGCTCCAGGTTCAGTAAGAGACCCTGCCTCAATATGGAAGGTGGAGAGCAATTGAGGAAGACAACCAGTGCCCTTTACATGCACACACATGTGCACATACAAAGACATATACAATCATGCACATACATATATATTAAAAAATTAAAAATGATTTTAAATATACTTTAATCCATAACCAATAAATCTTGCAAATGTAAAGGGAACACCATCAAGGATGAACTGAAGAGAACTCACTCAGCTTTTAAGGAAATGAGTGAATGAATGTATGCAGCACACAGATGGCCTGAACCACATGAAGTTCTGTCCACATGAGCTATGTCTGCCCATTCTCAGACCATTTAATAAGTAAATTCCAAATTTATGATATGGGAAAGATGGAGTGAGCATTGCTTGATTGGTCTTCTTCTGGAATCCACTAGAAACATACATGAAACTACTGTTTTCAGCTACTGGACAATGGAGGGAACAGGCAAATGCTGGACTGTTAAACTCTTATCTCCAGTCCTCTGTACTGGCATCATATTTGAGACCAAAGCAAAGGGACAGAACTTAAGCAAACCAGGAGGGCCTCAGCCATCTAAGAAATCAGCAAGAAACATTTGTCTTGTGGTGATAGGGCTTATGGAGCAGGAACCTCAGAAGTTGGGGGTATGTAGGAGAAACCTCTGCTGAGGCTTCCACCAAAGAACTGTTTCTTTTCCATAGAAGATATTTTCATCTTTGGTTCAATGTTTCAACATTTTCTGTCTACCAGAAGAAAGTTTACTTTTCTAATGGAAAATTAAAGTTCAGTAGAAAATTGTGAACAGTGTAGAATTCTCAAAGCAGTGCATACTACATATTTAGAGAATTATAACCCATTTGTCTCTCTCAAAACCAGACCAAAGCCAAATTTAACAATATTAGGAGAACATTTGAAAAAATATGAGAAAGGCATTTAATAAAGAATGACCTTAGCAAATAATCAGATGAAATTTTCCAGTAGGGAAATATAAAAAAATAAAAGTAAACTT